AGATGATCAATTCACAGCAATCTCAATCTTTTTGAACGCAATACAACAATCTCAATCTGCACAGAAAAGAGAAAACAAACATGCCCTGTCCGCTTGAACTACTTTTGGTCATCTTATTCTTCCTCATATAACACTATTGAATTAGTCGAAACCAACTGGCTTATGTATCAGCCGAACACGACGTCCTGGTTTTAATCAGAGCTTATCAGCCAGCCAACAGTGTTTTCCTGCCACAACAAATCAGCACCAGCCGAATTTATCATTCCATAAACCAACCAGCAAATAGGCTGATTGAATACATGAAACAAAGGCAGCATAAAGTGCAACAAAATCTAGCTCAGCTAGCTCTTGGACTTGGAGTGGGGGCGTCCTGGTCGTCCGTGCACCGGCGGCGGCGGCGGCGTGGATGAGGTGTAGGAGGACTTGGGGCTGTTGTGCTGCTGCAGCTGCTCGAGCTCCGGCAGGACGGCGTCGACCATGGCGGGGCGGTTCTTGGGGTCGTTCTGGAGGCAGCGCAGCGCGAGCGCGGCCATCTCCTGCGCCTGCTTCTTGGGGTACTGCCCGCCTAGCCTGGTGTCCATGATCCGGATCACCTTCCGGCGATCCCCGAGCTGCGGGTACGCCCAGTCCACCAGCGTCGCCGCCGACCGGCCGCGGGCGTCGTCCACGGCGCGCCGCCCCGTCATGAGCTCCAGCAGCACCACGCCGAAGCTGTACACGTCGCTCTTCGTCGACAGGTGGCCCGTCGCGATGTACTCCGGCGCGGCGTATCCGCGGGTGCCCACGACGCGCGTGGTGACGTGGCTCTTGTCCCCCGTGGGCCCGTTCCTGGCCAGCCCGAAGTCCGACAGCTTGGCCCGGTAGTCGGAGTCGAGGAGGACGTTGGAGGACTTGAGGTCGCGGAAGATGACGGGGCTGTCGTCGCGGGAGTGCAGGAACGCCAGGCCGCGCGCGACGTCGATGGCGATGGAGACGCGCATGGGCCATGACAGCGGCTGCGTGGCGCGGCGGAAGAGATGGTTCTCCAGGCTGCCGCGCAGCATGTACTCGTACACCAGCAGCTTGTTGGCGCCGGAGTCGGAGCAGTAGCCGACGAGGGTGACGAGGTTGGCGTGGTGGAGCTGGCCCAGGTAGGTGACCTCGGCCAGCCACTCCCGGTGGCCCTGGAAGCTCTCCTCCTTGAGCTTCTTGATGGCCACCATCCGGCCGACGCCGGGTCTCGTCGGCGCCAGCGTCGCCTCGTCGATCCACCCCTTGTACACGCACCCGAACCCGCCCTCGCCCAGGTACGACGTGGACCCGAAGTTCTTGGTCGCCGCCCGCAGCTCGCTCATGCTGAACGACTTGAGCCCAACCCCGGCCCCGGCCCCGGTCCCGGCGCTCGCCGCCTGCACCTGCACGTCGGAGCCCGCTAGCTGCCCGGACAAGGCCGACGAGCTGCCGATGCTGCGGCGCGACGCTAGCTTATTGGCGGTCGTCGTCGAGTTACTGTTATTGGACGCGGTGCTCCTGCTTGTGACCTCTGAAAGAAATCGATGATCAAGATTGCAATCAGGACAGTTGCTTGCATCATCTTTCACGACTCCACCCCGATCGACTCAGAGGATGAAAAATATGAGAAATTAGAGAAAGCGGCAAAGAAATTGTCTGCGTCTTTACTTGATTCAAATGGAGTGGAGGCATTGGCGCACTTTGCAGAGCCTGTGCAGCAGTTCCCCATTATATCCTGATGATACTAGTAGCTGCTACAATTTCCCCCGGTCCTGTCTGTACTTGTCAGTGCTCTAAATAGATCAACGAAACGACCAGCAGCTGATGTAAAGAACTCCAAATGGAGCAATTTAAGTTCTAGGATGTGAAAGGGAGTGGAAGAATATAAGGCAGTCAGGCAGGCGAGGTGCAAGGAAGTCCAGTCAAGGGGGAGGGAGATGCTGACGGTGGGTCCGTTGACTGACCTGATTTGCATCTGCGCCCTTGTCTAGTTACTTCAAACTTTTGAAAAATGCACTATATAAAAAGAAGATTTTCATTACATTAAACTTGTGGTATATGCATGAAGTACTAAATATAGACGAAATCAAAAACTAATTACACAGTTTGCTTTAACTTTGTGAGACGAATCTTTTAAGCCTAATTAGTCAATGTTTGAACAATAATTCACAAATACAAACGAAATACTACAGTAGGGAATCTTCACTATGTAAAATTTGCCTGCCCTGCATTTGCATTGCATGGAGATGGAGGCTTCTCATCCGGCTTGTCAGTCAAGCAAAGCAAGCACACAAAGGCTAATTCCCTGCCACTACTTACTTACAGCTTCCAAGATACTTCTCCCAGAGCCAGAAGTCAAACGACACACCATATATAACTTCGTTATTATCTCATCAATAAACCACCATAAACACGCCCATGGAAAGGAAGCATTTGACAGCTAGCTTCAACTTTTGCAGTAGCAAACTAGGGAGGGAGGGGCAGGTTGTTTCTCTGATGGAAACACCTTTGAAAGGACAAACAGAACTTTGTCCCAACACGTCTGAGTCAGTCTTCTGCGAGTACTTCCTTCTACAATTTATAAGTCGGCTGAAGTTGTTTTGTTGTGAGAAGAAATGACATAAATAAAAAGAATAAAAATTGCATACAGTGAGCCACAAGAGTGTGCGTGGTCAGATTGGAGTAGCATGGAAACTTTCATAAAGCGCTGTTGGCGCTTTCAAGCTGATGGAAGATGAGAAACTTACGGCGACTGTATCCTTTCTATCACGAGTAATTTAGAACATGAAAGATAAGAAATTTGCCAAATTCAGCGCATATGTGGTGAATATATATCACCCTGTTCGCTTGAACTACTTTTCAGCAAATGAACAATATTTTTCTCTCACAACAAATTAACACCAAGCATCAGCATAAATCAAATTTCAGCATAAGCGAACAGGGTGATAAGATGTTGCAACACCGCCTGTTTAGTAATGCACAGCGCGGAGAACATTTGACTGATGCTTACGAATCCGCATTCATTTAAATATTACGTACTACATTAACTCCGTTGAGAGTGTTCATATCATGAGGTGAGGTCCGTCAAACAATTGATATTTGGAGTTGGAGATTATATTGGGGCTCTCGTGCGGCTCACACGTGCATTGGTCGACCAAGTAAAAGTCAAGGGCTAACAATTCCAAACAAGATCATAGCATTGGTCGACCAAGTAAAAGTCAAGGAGCATTAAATGTAATTATACAGCCAAATCACAAGATCTTAGTTGGTCCAGGCTATTTATCAAATAAGGAATTTTTTTACAATCTAAACATGGCCTAGATTGGAATTTGCAACCAGTTTTTTATCAATTCCAAATAAGCAAGTTAGACATTACTGTGGAGCACCTTATCCATGTCGGTCCATGGGTGCCAATTCTTATGCACACTTGGTCCTCTATTTGTTTTTTTTACATGTTGTATCTGTTTTGTTTTAAGTCGGACATTTGTGTCTTTGATCCTCAATTTTTTCTTTAAAAAATATAAGTTTATGATATAAGATGTTTTTATATTTACTACGAGAAATATTTTCATAATATATAATTCATACGTAGTGAAACTATATTCTTTTTAATGGGTAATCAAAGATAATAATGTTTGGCGTTAATTTTTTTTTGGCGCTAATGTGACATGTAAAAGAACAGAGAGAGAAACTGGCCTAGCGTCAATCTAACACGGTGAGAAAGAAGCCTTCATCCCTTTATGTTTTGTTTCTTCTAATTTCTACTATATTAATTAATCTTTAGTCCCGCTGTGTGCACTTATACACTCGACCTTCCACCTGGATTCAGTGGTGAAAGACAGGGATGGGTTGGAGGAGCTAGGCATGGTCACCTCTAACTTTTTTTTTTCCATTGCGTCTTTTAGTGACCTAGCTAATCTACCATGTAATAGCCCACATGGATCACCCGGATCCATTGGAGTAGGGAAAGTGGCCGGGCATGGAGTTAGGCCAGGATGCAGAAGAAAACTAAGAGCAAGTACAACAATTGGCTTATAGTCAAATTAATCAATATTTTGATGATATGGAAGAGAGAAGAGAGCTTGGCTCTCGTGCAAGCAATAAGTTGGACACAGATGCATATGCATTGGTGAGCCTAGATAGAAGGTATGTGAGGATTTATAAGAAAAGAATATAAGACATGGTACTACATCATAATAAAAAAATTATAGACAAATAGAAGATAACTATGGTACAGCTTGACTTATAGTCCGGTAATTGGCTCTATTATTGACCTTGTTCTAATGAGTTAGGTTTCACTATTGCATGCAACTTCGGCCTAGCAAATCAGAATCTTCATTTCCATCTCTAAATATATCAAAATAGCTGTCATACAATATCCCAAAGGGTATAAATGGTTATTCCCCTAAAACCTATAAATACCAGAGTTTGAGCAAAGTTACGTGACAAATATATGCATCTGCTCCATAGAGGAAGACTAACTCTATAGTGAAGCTTTTTTTAAGGGAACTCTATAGTGAAGTTGCTTTGTGGTAGAATGGGTAGAACGGGGTTTATTTTATATGGGTCGTCTATGAGGCTCGCGTGGCTTCAGTGATCTCCAGAAGGACGTTTGAAGTGTATAGGTTGTAGTTTCTAGAGGTGTGCGTATGTATTGTGTAGAGTACAGATAATACAACTTGTACACTAGGAGTCCAGGCTTAAAAAAACAATTTAAACTGATTACATGGCAGCTTCGTGCTTGCAGATGAAGTAAAACTTGGTGAACTGCCATCTCCTAGTTATCGCCTGAAGGATTACAGGAAGTAGCCAAGTAGGCAGCAGTGGTCAAATCCTGTCAACCTTGGAAAGCACTGTTGCGTGCCATATATGCCAATACCGACGGCTCCTTGGACCTTGGTTAGTGCACCTGTCTTTGTTGTGGCCTGGAATTGTTAATCTCCAAGTGTAAAGTTTTCACATCAAGCTTCGCTGAAGGTCATTCTCAGCTACACTTTGTACAAACAAGATTACCCACAAAACTTCCTGCTGCTTAAGATCTTTGCAGCCTGGCTAGCATTTACATGGTGCAATCCTTGATGCTTTAGGCAATTGTCACTCTTCGTGTCATCCATTAGCATTTCCAGCAAGCACTGTGCATCTGACCTTTTCATGGTCAACAACTTCAGGGATTCACTTAGAAAAGGGAGAAAAGCTTCAGGTCTTGAACAGAAGGGCCTAAAGATGTGGAGAAGGGCTTTTGTATCAACTCTTAGCTGGATGGCTCCAGGATCAGAGAAACTTACTTCACCCCATCGTATGCTGCTGCAGATGAAGTAGTCGAGGCCTTCCGCTATACTCCTCCAAAGATCAAGGAAATCCTTGGAATTAAGATATCGCTTCAACTTAGTGGTCCTGTCTGTCAGAACATCTAGACTGGCAACAAAACCAGGAGATACTCCTGCATTTTCTTCATCCAGGGTCTGATCATCTAAGATGGTCTGTCCACTCCATGATCCAATGTTCTGGACATATTCCGAGGACAGATCTTCAAACTCAAGCAGAACCGAAGACAGTATCTGTTCCAGGTAATTGGTCCCTAATTTAACTAAGAAGCTGATTTCATCTGTAAACAGAGATCCTTGAGGACCCATATCCAAAAAGGTAGTATCTTCATCCCATTCCCGAAGCACATTCTCGCAGTAACGAGCGGCGTTGATTGCACACGAAGTTTTTGACAAAGACTGATCTTCTAATGCCGTATTCGACAATTCCAATGCTTCACATCGTTCACGCAAGACAAGAAAAAAGTCATTCAGGAACCTAACTGAAGAGGATCTGTTATACTGGATCTGCATTCCCCTGTTTGGCAGAGCACGGCCTCTTTCAACCATTGACAAAGCAGTTTTGATAACAAATTCACACACCGGAGGAGCTTTGTAGTCTTCTCTTGTAGAGAGAAGAAACTTCATTGAATTTTCCATGTGACCAAGCTGGTCAAGCTGACCACTACATGACCAATTTGTCTCATCTTCCATTTCAGATTTCAGCTTATCCTGTGCTGAACTAAGCTCAACATCAGCCCATATCTGAAGCCAATCAGGGTGCTCAGTGTATATTGAAAAGACAGATAAGGACCTAGACAGACCTTCAGAAAGAGATGCAATTTTCTGGATTCCTGAATCCGCTAGAAGCTGCATTCTTTTATCAAAAGAAATCATTACGTCATTTAAGTGCATCCAAGAGGAATCTACTTCAGGTTTGCCAACAGTAGCATGATCCTGATAAGAGCAGACAAGTGCTGGGAAAATCTGCCGCTCAAGGTATCCTACAAGCATTTTCACCATTCCAGTTACCCAAGATTCCTTGGCACTTAATCCCACTAGTCTTGCTTGATCAATCAAAGGCTGCAGTACATCATCCACCCCATCCATGAAATCCTTTGTTATCTTGTAAACAAGGGTAAAAATGAACTCTGGCTGTTCAGACCATTTAGCAAAATGATATTCCATCCTTGAAGCAATAGGGTGAACTAATTCATCGATCGCCCAAAGCCCATTGTCGAAGCAAGCAGTTCTATTGAAGTACTTCAAATCTGCCAGGGCAGGAGTCACTTCTGCTGTTTGACACAGGCGTAATTCACGGTTTCCCTGCACATGCTGGAGAGCACACAGTGCTTGGAAGCTTTGAGAGTATCTCTCTTTATTTTCCTTGTTCATCAAGACTAGAGGATTCGGAATTTGGGAGTACTTATCCTTCTCTGTGTCTTGTGAAGACAATGAAGGTGGCCAGCCCAATGATGCTAGTAGAGCCCGATAATCCGTGAGGGCTTGAGGCCTCAAAATGGAAAGAGTTTTGTCCACTCTAGAATCAACAGCCATGACAAGGTTGGTCCACTGTGGCCTACTAGTGCTGATCTGTACTAATTCTCGCTCAATATCCCTCACAGCATCGACAGCATGGAGCAGCTTCCCTTGCTTCCATTTTGTTTCCTACATTTGACAGAGAATAAGGATATCATCCTTAGTTTGCAAACTAATTGCTGAATGACATTTTATCAGCTGCATCTGCAGCAACAGATGAAGTGAAAGAAAGACAAAGGACCTCACATTTGATTTTCGAAGTATGGATGATAGGTTGAACTTCGGGGCCTGCCTAACGATGGAAAATGCCACATCTTCCAGGTTGCCAACCAAAGCTTCCAACTGTAGAGTAGCTTCTGGAATGTCAGCATAGCAAAGTTACAGAAAGCACTATACATTCCTACACCATACAGAGCTAGAGGTCTCAAAGAAGATATAGTAACAAACAATAGCAGCCAACAGAACTCATCTCGTGGCAAATAGCAAAGGTGAGCAGATTTTGATGCAGAGGGGGAATGAAATCAAAATTGAAATCAAAATTGAACTATGAACTGGTACAGCAGGTTTGAAACTGCGCAGAAGACATTTATTATTCAGATAATGTCAATGGACTCAGTTACAAACTTATGATACTTGTTTATGTGGCCCGATGAGTATCTTAGTTCATAGACTGGTACTGAAACCAACACAGAAGCTTCTACATTCAACGCAATCATGAGGACTACATTTCCCAGCGCTGTAGAAGGTCAGTGATATGGATATTTTCAGCGCTGACAAACCACTGACACAAAAAAGGATCCCCAGATTATACTGTTGCAGAAAATAAATCACGTATTAAGTTACCAAAAGCCACATCGCGCAGCAACAATGTAACTATAACGCAGGCTCCAGAACACACTCATATGGAACCATCAGGTAGCAAACCAATTTCGTATGTAATCTACAACCAGTCACATTGTATTTGCCCGTGCCACCATGTAAACGTCCACATCAATAGGAGGAAGAGATGCTGACCCGCGTAGAGCCGGATGGTGTCGATCCGTTGGATCTCCCGCACGAGCGCCGGCAGCCCCACCGTCCTCACCGCCTCGGCGCCCTCGTCCTCCGCGCCGACGCGCACCCCTAGGAAACAAAGAGGAAACCGAGCCGGATCAGCAGTGGAGTCTGGAGTGTGGTGGGGGGACGGGCAGCCAGCCTCAGCGCCCCCGCGGCACCGGGACTAAAACCCCAACCAGCAGCTAGGGTTCACTACTGTTGACGGGAGCGAGCGAGCGAGCGTGCGAACCTCGTGACCGGACGCGGCAGAGGTCGGCGCGGGCCTCGGCCGAGCGCGCGAGCCAGGACGCGGCCGCGGCACCGAGCCGGGCCTCGGCGCGGCGGAGCGAGGCGTCGAGCCCGGCGCACTCGCGGCGGAGTAGCTCCGTGAGCGCCGGCGCGGCCGCAAGGTTGTCGGGGGAGGTGAAGTGCGCGTCCAGGAAGCCCCGCACACTCGCCGGCGGCGGCCGCAGCCGCGGGGGCGACGGCATGGGAGGAGCGTTGGGTTGGGAGGCGAGAGAGACAGAGGAGGGGGGGAGCCAACCAGCCAGGTGATTGTGAGTGCGTGCCCGCGTGGGTGGGAGTGGGACCGGACGAGAAAGGCTACAACGTGCGTGCGTGGCCTTCCTGGGTACTGTCTCTGTCTGTCTGTCGCGTGGGACCCGTCGGCGCGGGGCCGATCTGAAGAGGAGCTGATCTGAACTGATCGCAGTGTTTGGAGGCTGAAAAAAACAAAACAAAACAAAAAAACCATTTTCTGTGGTGATGGGAATGGGACCCGTCCGTCCGAGACCATCGCAGGTGTTTAGTCGGTCAAATTTTGGAATTTGGTTCTGTAATCTTTTTTTTTATTTTATTCGTTTAGTCTTCGATCGTGGATGATTAATTAAGCCAATATAATGACGTTTTATTCTTTTTGCGATTTCCAAATTCTGAAAAATATATGAAATTAAGCATTTTGATCGCAGGGATGGGAGATGAACGGCTGCAAAAAAACAAAACAAAACAAAAAAAAAAACATTTTCTGTGGTGATGGGAATGGGACCCGTCCGTCCGAGACCAAACTTGAGGAAGCTGGAGGCGATGCATGCAAATGCAGCTGCTGACATGACAAACACGATTCTGCTCTTGCTGCCTTCAATTTCTGGCGAACATCAGAAGACTGTCAGAATACGTTTTTCTTTTTTTTTTTTTGATGGGGAGAATACCTTTTTCGAGAGAGAGAAAACGCCAGCTGACTGCTCGGAACGATCCATCTCAGTCATATGGATGGCTCTGGGCCGGAAGGCCTTCCCATGATATGGCTACATAGCCCGTTGGGCCGTAAATCTGTTCATCAAGGCCCGGTAGAAACATATTACAACGGGCGGGGATGGACTGGACCACGTAGTACTGACTGTACACTGTACACAGGTTGACAGATGGAGCAGCTCAATCCCCGCCGGCGCCGCCCCACGATCGTTGTCTCCTCCGGCAGAATGCGATTTCTTGGGAATCAACGTTATATATTTTGTTCAGAAATTTATTCAAATTTGGAAGAAGAATAAACCGTGCAAACTATACGAACTTAAGGGTTCTAGGTAGCCGTCCGTCCTCACGCTCTCCCACTGTCTCCGCCTCTGTGCTCTTACTATCAGCCCACCCAACCCAAGGATCGTTTAGCTGCACTCTAATTCACCACAATCTATATAGATTGGAAGAGATTAAGGACTTGTTTGACTACATTTTAATCTGCCTTGATCACTTCCAAACCATGTGGATATGGGTGAATCAGGGTGCTGCCAAATTAAACAAGTCCTAAAGTATATGTAGTAGAAAATAGTTTTCATCTCAATCCCTACTAATAACCTACGAGGATTATTGGGCCAAACAGATCCTTAGATGCTGTTGGAACTGTGTTCAAAATCAGAAGGAATATGGTGCAACAGCTCCCACACCATTCCTTGCATGCTGTCCCGTCCCGCCGGCCGACGACGACCACAACGATGCCGGAAGCTCCTCCGCGGCGCCGCCTGCCGTCCGTCCATCATTGCCATGAACGTCGATGCCGCTCCGGCCTGGCCAGCTGCTTCCCTTGCTGCGCCGGCCGGCCGGCCAGCCAGCCAGCTCCGGCATTAATGCCCGGCACTATGCTTTCCGTTTCAAGCACGCAACCGCAACGCTAGTCGTGCTCTCTTTCTCAAGTCCAGATCATATATCACAAATTTTCGACTCTTCTCTTGCGTGTGTTATTGGTGGTTGTTGTGCTATCAATGTGTACTTTGTTGCATCTATTTGAGCGGTAATTAAATTACCACTTCAATGCCATATATTGGTCGATAATTCTTTTCGAACATCGAAGCGCTCCATGGATCGGGATCTAGTCTGCATTCAGCACTCGATCTCACTATTGTACAATGTGTATATGGAACTGCATATATGCATCATGCAGATCGAAATGAAACTGGTATAAAATTACCTTAACTGCCTTGATTAGCTTATCCTGATGAACCATACAAATTGAAGCTGCTGATTGCTGGTAAATTAAAGCTACTACTACGGCACCAGCACCAGCACCAGCACCAGCACGTACGTACGGTAATCTGGAGCTAGCTAGTATTGTACGTCTCGACACCGCAGACAGATGCATGCATGCTGACGCTGTACAGTACAACAGATACGCTATACTACGCTTGTTCCATCATATTGTCCTCCTACATTCCATCATATCGTCCTGGATCCGGCCATACATACATCTATGCTGGTTGCGGCTGGCGGCCGGCAATGCATGCACGCATGAGAGTAATAAATCTGCCGGTCGATAGACGCCAGCCGCCGTTTTGATCCGCCGGCTCCCTGACGCTCACAGCATCTCGGCGCTGTTGGTCTCGTACATGACGACGTTCCACGAGTCCAGCGTGGGGAAGCACGGCTGCTGCTGCTGGAGCTGGTGTTGACGAAGCGCTGACGCCTCGTCGCCGGCCGGCAGCAGCTGCGGGTTCCCGGCGGCGGCGGCGCCGAGCAGCGCCGCCGCGTCGAGCGCCGCGGACGCCTGGACCTGGAGCATCATCACCTCCACCCCGGCCACGTCACCGCCGGCCGACGCTGCGTCCGCCTGCACGCCGGTGATCTGCTGCACCATGAGGCGGAAGTTGGCGGGGTCGGTGCTGATGTAGGTGGTGGGCGCGCGCTTGGACGCCCGCGACCGGCGCTTCCCCGCGCGCGCTCCCGCCGTCGGCGAGGACCGGCGGCGAGGCGAGTCGGCCACCAGCACGGAGTCGCAGCAGGTGGCAGCCACGGCGTGCGGCGGCGGCACCGGTGGCGGCGCGTAGTAGGGCGACGGGAGGTCGGCGAGGGCGCTGAGAAGGGGCGAGTGCTGGTGGTGGTTGAGGGAGGAGGAAGAGGCGGAGGCGGAGGAGTCGGGCGACATGGTAGTAGAGGAGAAGTGGAGCGCCCGCGCGATGGCGGCGTCCGTGTAGGAGGTCGCCAGCAGCGCGGGCGGCGGCGGCGCCAGGCAGGAGATGGCGTCCATAGTGTTTTCTGACGTACGGTTGGACCTTGGTTTGATTAGTGGAGCTGAGCTGAGCTGAAAACGAAAGCTAGCTGCTAGTGTGAGTGCAGTACAGCGACGGGAATGGCGCCGGGGTGTATGAGGAGGAGGCGAGTATAAACGGAGGGGGAGGCGAGTGGTGGAGTGGAGTTTATAGGCGGAGGAGCCGAGGAGGCGAGGAGGAAGGGATGACGATGGGGAAACCGCGTGGGGTGGTCGTCGTGGGGGGCCGTCGGCGTGCGTGAGGCCCCGCCGTGTGTCGGAGGCCACCGCCAGCGCCAGCGCCAGGCCGCCCCGCCCCATCCCGCGCTGGATCCCCTAGCCTTGACTCGGGTCAACGGCTGCACCGCCTGCTCGCTCGGCGCGGCCGCGTGCACCCCCGCGCACGGCGTCCGGCGGTGTGCGGTGTGTGTGTGTGTACCCTAGCGTGGCGTGGTGTGGCACCCCGCGCAAAGGCCAAGCATGTGCATGCCGTGCGATGCTTTTCGGCGGGGAGGTTGACTGGCCTGCCAACTGTGGTCGACCCGACCGACCGACCGACGGCAAAGTTGCCATGTGTGCACCCGTGGTGCCACTCTCGTACGGGCACGGGCGGAGAAATGCTGGGTGTATTTTCACGTACGACTCCCCCCAGGAATTCTGACCGGGGTGTCGGCTGATGCCGCGGAGGCGGAGCTTGGACGACGACGCGTCTGCCATCTGGGGCATCCATCGCTTCGCATGCATTGCACACGCTGTGCGGCCATTCGCGCAGGTGCAGGTGCAGGTGAATCAAATCCAATCCTCTCCAATGCAACCGGCCAGCGGTCGCCGGGAATATCGGGAGGTGGGCTGGGCGTCGCTCTCGCCGGGGATCGGATTTCTTCTAGAAACTAGAACAATTCCCATTCCGTTCACAATCAGAGAGAGAATCAGAAACTAGACATCAATCTTTTTCTTTTTTAATAACAAGGCAGATCGGATCCGTGGCCTTTGTTCACGGGACCCAGAATCTGGGCGCGGCCGTCGTCATCATCGCAAAATACGTCGCAAAATACTACAGAGAGGATGGCGACGTATTTCGCAAAATACTACAGAGAGGGAGGCCAGTGCTCATCTGTAGAATCTGGTTGCGCAGGCAACTTTTCAAAGGAAACCAGGGAGCCACGCAGGCCCCGGCCGGGTCTCCCCTCGCCGACGGCGACGGAGGAGGAGATGCTGCGTCCACTGAAATTAAAGCGAGCCTAGCCTTTTCCACCGACAGTGAATCAACGGGGTTATACTCTACCAAAAACAATGCGAGATTTTCGCTTTAACCTTGAGAAAACGACGGCCCAACTATCTGGATTCACTCCTTCCCTTCCCGGGGCCTGGTTACTCTCAATGTCGCCGGAGTCTACTTTTACCGTGACCGTGGTGATTCCATCACGCCTTTGGTATTGTAGGGTAAAAAAAAAAGATGAGGTTAATGCTTTTTTCTCGAATACAGAAAAGATTTGTGTGTCATCTCATTAAGATCAAGAAAAGTCTAGAGTTACAACGACGCAACAACGGCTAGGGATGGGGTGTTGTTTTACAATGAGCACTGGCCTCCCTAGCAAAAGATGGGACTAAAGCGATTACTCACGAATTAAGCTACCTAGCCTAGAGCCCCCGGCGTCAATCCATTGGTCCGCCTCTTGCTTGATCAAGGCAAGAATTTGCTGGACGGGGAAGGTTAATGTGAATCCACACCTACCATTCTTGGCAAACGGGGAAGCAAACTTTCTTTCCTTTACATAGACTACGAGCTTACTCCCTCTGTCCTTAGATAAGTGTCGCTATGGTATTCGTGTCGGTTAAACTTTCTTATGTTTGACTAGGTTTATATAAAATATTAACAACATTTGTATCTCCAAATAAATTTATTACAAAAATAGATTCTACGATCTATCTAACAATACCAATTATGTACTATAAATATTAATATTTTCTTGTGCATATATTTGGTCAAAGTTAAAAGAGTCTGACTCCTTGATAAACGAGAACGACACTTATTGAAGGACAGAGGGAGTATTTGGTTATACCATCAACCAAGATAGTTAACTGCCTGGCAGCGGATTTAGGTCGTCGATTTTGGTCGTCGGTGGATCAATATCTGGTAGATCACCAACCAAACACATTTTATAGGAGATGCTCGGTTCCTCCGCTTGACACCATATATCACTTACCAAGGGAGGATGCAGAGCATTTTTTTTTCTCGATCACGCAAAATGTTTGTGAGCCTTTGTACTAAGGGTGAGGAAATTTTAATACAACACGCCTGCGCCCTAGTGGGTCAAAAGAGATGAACATGGACGATCGGACCCTCCCTAGTGTACAACACGCCTTACCAGCGCTCTAGGGAGGATGCATGGCAGATTTGCTTCTTTGGTGAGATTCTCCGACCATTTCGGAACACTTGCGGATGAGTTTTTCTTACCCCGTACTCCCTCCATGTCCCTAAAGAATGTTGTTTTAGGCATCGACACGGTCTCCAAAAAATAACTTTGACTACTACTGTTTGCTATAAAATATTTATAGGATATAGTCAATATCTACTTCTATAAAACTACATTTTTGAGATGAACTTACTTACATCACTTTTATATTTTCACACTCAACCAAAAGAATTTATTTATAGTTAAAGTTTAAAATATTTGACTCGAGACAACCTCAAAATGACTTTGTTTATAACGTGGAGGGAGTAAGTAGGAGAGAGCTGGATCGGATCACCCGGGCCGGCCTTGTTGCTGTGAAATGAATGTGATGGGCGAGGTCAAAGTCATGCATCGCCGACGACGGGAGGTGACGCCGCTCAAACTTAGGAGTGTAACGCATTGCGTAATAACCCGGCCCAGAGTTGACGCTGTACGGTTGCACGGCTAACCTGACCCTGGAGCACACAAGTCCAAACCTGCGTTCAATTCAAAGCACGACGACGGATCTTCCACGGCGCCTGCTCAGCATCCACGCCATGCATGGCGTGCTGCTGCATGTTTCTGAACCCCCCACACACAAACACACCGCAAGCAAAACCAGCAGCAGCAACTCGATCCAGTCTGAACTCTCAAGCCGCAGACGTACACAGGTACAACATGTACAGGACTAGCAACGCGTCTGGAGCAGCAAAGCAAAGCAAAGCGCCACACACAGCGTGGCAGCGCACAGGGACAAGCTAGGAGCACATGCACGACGACGGCCTGATGGACGCTTGCTCATCACGCTGCACCACACAGACAAAACAACTGAACAAGTTTGACGCGTTCCGACGTTTGTCAGCGTTGAAAACCCACCAGGCCACCAGCAATTCAGCAACAGCCAACCACTCCGGTTAGTAGTAGCAACAGCCAAAAAGTCTTCACTCCGGTTAGTAGTATTAAACTAAACTAATTGCTGGTGGGAACCACCGTTTTACCTAATTAGTCAATGTTTGGACACTATTTGCCAAATAAAAACGAAGGTGCTACAGTAGACCCAAAATCCAAATTTCGCGAACTAAACAAGGGCTAAACTAAACTACTGGAACCACCACCTAGCAGTGGTCAATACCGACATATATTATATATACACTAGTACGTACGCCTAGTTGCGTTGGGAGCGTATATATATAAATATTATATATTTGCAGTTTCAAGTCCACTGGCCGAGAACGAAGAGCTTGGCATTGCAGGATTATTGCATCGCATGCACGCATGGTCCTTGGATTAGTTTACAGTAATCGATCCAGAACATCCCCCCATGAGGGCTGAGGCATTCGGCATTCCCTTGTGATTGAGTGCCCTGGAAGACTTTTGCGTGCCATTTTTGCTTGCCTGTTGGTCCGTCAACCAGTCCATTTTCATCGCTTGCCTGTTGGTCCGTCAACCACAATCTACATTATTTTTTTTCTCATCAAAACAGCTTTAGCACTTTTAGTACTTTAATACCAGCTATGTATAATTCCACTGTCTTAATTGCTGGTCAGATGGATGGATGGATGGGTGTTGGAATTCCTGCATTGCCATTGCCAATGCCAACAGAGGTCAATATCAGTGTCAGCTGCAAAGCTGAAGCCTAGGTTGTTTGACATGATCCGAAAAAGTACTAATCTCTTCAGTCACCTATCATCCAGAATGCAGTAGTAATATTAACCTCTCTGAAGTGAAGTGAAGTGAAGTTATATCATCAAGTGGGTATACCACCAAAGAATGCATCTTTGACATGAGAAAATGGAGCCTCCCTCCTAGGTCCTAGCATAGCAATAGCACACAGCGATTGGCTAGCTCTGCTGCTGGCTTGAAACCGTTTCAATGTTGTCTGCTGAAAACTGATGAGCTCTTGACCCTTTTGTAGGGAGCTACAGTAGCTTCAGAAGTGACGAGGTTGTGAGGGCATGATTGCATCAGCCTGTCGTTGTGGTAGCCAGACGCTCTTCATCTATTCATTTTATTATTATTAGGGGAGCTAGAGTCCACATGGCCCATACACATGAGATGCTCCCATCCCATTCCCATATACTCCCCTCCGTTCCGAGATTATAATTCGTTTGACTTTTTTGATTTCTAAGTTTGACCACTCGTCTTATTCAAAAAATTTGTGCAAACATAGTTAAATTTAAGTCATTTTCAAAGAACTTTAGTTAATAAAGCAAGTCATAACAAAAGAAGTGATATTCTGCACAAATTTTTGAATAAGTCGAGTGGTTAAACTTAGGAGTAAAAAAAGTCAACCGAATTATAATTTGGAACGGATTTAGTATATAAAACTACATCTTCATGTGATACTAGGCCTGTTTGACTTGCTACACCTGCTCCCTGATCCACTAGGTCATTTTCATACTCACCCACTAGTACGTACAGTATATTCTATCATTCTCTCTCTCTCTGGGTGTCTCATCTTAAACAAGTTTCAGAATATCCTCCTCATCCTAGCAAGAAGCTGGCTAGCGCTGCACTTCTTCAGAATATATACAAGTATATGTATATATACATTTCTATTTCTAT